AACTCATACCCCTGACTCCTGTTCCTCTGAAAATTCGAAAGCCAAGTCCTCCGCGAAGCATAGCCCCAAACCCAAGCACAAAGCATTCCAAAAGTCGAAGCCCCGAAACCTAAAATCTTCAACCCCAGAGAGAGCCCTAAACCGTAAAACCATGGCCCTGAACCCTAAAGCCCTAAAGCCCAAGACCCTAAGACCTAAGCCCAACTGTCAGGCTGGCTGATGAAATGGGTACGCAGCTGTCGAAGTACCAAGAGATCTATGAGAAGCTGATCGAGGTCCAAGGTAACATCATGGACAACCCTTCCAAGCAACTATGCTTATTAATTGCCCATCTATTCTAGGTATGAACCCGCTGTGTACGGCACTGCCCTTGCCTGGAGCAAAGCCATGCCCCCAAGGTCCTGGAAGGATGCACTTGTCAAGCAGTTTGTGGATTGCACCAAAGCAGACGTTACTATGAACAACTTGCTGTCTCGTGCAAGGTGGGAATGATAAATGTTCTTGTTTGATCGGGGCTTCGGCTTGCACTAGCCGTGTAGCTATATTCTAGCTAGCATATACGTGCCAGGAGTGTGAAAGCGCCGACTTCGAAAAAGGAGAAGGATACCCCGGAGAAAAAGTCTGGCAAGAAGAAAGGCAAGGACAAGCGGGAGAAGAAGGTGAAAAAGGACGCCAAGTCAGAGGGTGCACCCTCGAGCAAGCGCCGAAAGACGCGCTGAGTTTTTCGATTCATCCGGGTTCAGGGCCTGCTTGAGTCCAGCTATCTGTGAATCATGCACACGCACTGGCACACATGAACCATGCATAATTACATGAGTGGCAAAGCTGTGCACTCTCATGCAGAGCTCCTGCTGACTGGGGCAACAACGGCAACTGTGCTTCTAGGCACTTGCTGACTGCTTGCAATTAGGGTACGACACTCATGCAACTGGGGTCAAAAAGTGCTGCTTGCTCTGCCCTCGCTTCTCCTGAGATGTTGTGGTGGTCGCTGATGCCCGCTGCCTGTGTACATGTGCCAGGTTCACGCACGCTGAGGCGGCTTTTGGGACCAGGTGCAGGCACGGGTTGTCTACATATGATAACCTAATGTATGATGTAGCTGCCACTAAGGCCAAGAGGATGATGACGACGAGGATGCAGAGCTGGCGCAAGAACTGATGCATGACTACCTTTCCGGAGCCCCTAGGCTTAACTATCTATACATGTTGCATCTGTCACAGGCAACTGTGTGCTGCAAAGGCCGAGTCTGCTTGTCGAACGAGCAAGATTGCCAAGATGATTTGTCGTGTGCGACAGAAGCGACCCCTGGTTTGCATACAGCGCTGTTCCAGGCTCTAATGATATAGCAATGTGATTGTGATTCGGGGGTTATGTCTTTGGATGGTGTGGTATAGTGTCGTGGTGTGGCATGGAGTGGCTTGGTGAAGTGTGAGGTGTGGGGTGTGGAATGTGGAGTGTGGAATGTAGGGTGTCTGTTGTGTGTTTTTTTTGTGTGTGTGTCATGCACTATATACATGCTTCGTGCTGTGTGGGGTGGCATGATTGGGGTCGGGCTGCCCATGTATACATGCATGATCCAAGGTGGCAAGCCAGACTTGCTACACAAGCTTGCCAAAGCTGGCACAAGCCGCACGAATGTTTGCCGAAACCTGCATATACTGCTTGAGAAAAGTGGTGCTCAATACCCAGTTCCCCTGACAACTGTGCCAACGACAATCAGACTTCGCAAGCCTCGGCCGCACGATGAAGTTTTGCAGTGGCCTGTCATTCGGATCTCTGATTGGGCCCGTGTGCTTCTGGAAAACAACCCGGCCTACCTACTGGGCGGCTGCAAGCTAGAAGATGAGCTTGGATGGTCAATGATCTTTTCGAGCTTTTGGGAGAATTATCGTTCCATAAACCCCAGCCATGCAGCTTACACCTCAGGTCTTGAATTGTCGAGGCTGATACCTTATGCAATTCATGGTGATGAAGGCCGAGGCCTCCGAGGCAAACCATTTTTAGTGGAATCATTCCAACCGATCATCTCGAAATATGGGCCATTTGTTACGAATGAGTCAGGGCAGCTAGCTTGCACTGATGGAATGACAGCACCCGTTTATCTTATTTCTTTGAATTTGCATATAATAAGCCGTGGTAATTGCACATAAGCGCTGTAGTAAGGTCGGTAGTACACTACTAGGTTTGAGCAATGCGAAAGGTATCTAGAGGTCTAGCTTCATTCATCGGCCCATAGTTCTACCTCCCCAACAGCTTGCTCATGTGTAATATGAACCTGTCTACACTTAAAGTATGTTGCCCGTCGACCCACTCCAAATCGATGTAGTGGCCTGAACCCACGACTCGGCAGTGTACCTAGTTGTACTTGCAACTGTTGTTCTTGGCACCCGCCACCGAAACCCCCAAGCTCAGCTGAGGCATTCATTGACCACAAGATTTTTGACAGTTTGTATCTCCTCCCACCTGTTCGCCGGCGACAAGACCCTGTACGATCTACATTCAGCAACAGCGGACACTGCTGAAGACATTTTCTGGAATGGGGTTGAGGCTGCTACAACTGATTTGGTTGGAAGATATGGTGCTACTAAGTTCAGTACATTGTATATCAGGTTAAAACCGTGCATTTAAAAGACAATATCACGGGCTATCTGAGGTCTCGGGCATCCGCTTGCATATGGCCTGCATTGCCGGCAAAGGAGATTGGAAGTATCTCCGCCAGGCACGATTCACCCTAAACCCTGAACCCCTAAACACTAAACATATAGTACACCGGCCTAAAGTAAACCCTACAAAAACACAACCGGTTGTAATCATATATGGCTGCAACCTTATACTAGCCTATCATAAGAAATACAATGTGCAGCCCAATCTACCCTACAGCTAGCTCTAAACACCAAGTTTCCTCCCAAGCTGGCCAGGCTTACGAGCTGTCCACTGGGTACAACTGCAAGGAGAAGTGTCACCTTTGTCAAGCGGAGGTTTCGTGGCTGTTGGCTTCAATATACTTTAAACGTTTATAGGCCTTATTACTAATTTTCGGTTTATTTGTACGTACAATTGAGGATTGGCATGTTCTCTCGAAAGATGCATGCTGGCGGGAAACCATCGGCTGCCGAACAACCAGCCCTCACAAGACTGACGATATCCCTCTGTTCAGAATTCCGGGATTGCAGACGAATACAATCATGACCGATCCTATGCACACATTTCATCTTGGATGGGGCCAGGATTTGGCAGCTAGTGCAATTATCCTTTTATGCCGTTTGGGCGAGTTCGGCAATGATCGTGCACTGGATAGCCGATTGCATCGAGCATACACAAGGTTCGTGGCCTACTGTGCTAGGACTGGGCGAACCACAGGCTGTGACAAGTTCACGAGAATAGCTTTCGATATGGAGAAGCTATAAACTCAATTGGTATTTCGTTTGATTGGTCGATCGCAGTAGCGGCTAACATAGGTCAATCCAAGTCTTATACGGAATCATCTTTAAGGAACAACAACGACTGGCCGACATCTCTTGGTGGCAAGGCTTATGATACCTTCTTGGTTTTGGCTTGGATCGAGGACCACCTCGCGAACGCGGTTTCCTTTTGCGAAAGCTTGAGCATGATGTTGGAACAGCTAGTAAATTGGCAAACCCTGTATGTACAAATAGCTAGCACTAGAAGTCGAACTAATTAAAACCCAAGCCCCAACTCCAACTCCAAACCGATCGAGCTATCCCAAGGCAAACCAGGATCCTGATGTGCAGACCCTGCAATACACAGTGGCCTGTGCAAACTTCTACTTCCGGACTCAGCGAGAACATGGTGTGTTCCTACCCCACGAAACAAGGCTGTTGGTAGCAGCTGCTGGTCAAAATATGGAAGTTCCTTGCCTAGAAGAAGCCCTCACGTGTAATTCTATATAGGGTAAATCGTGTAGTTGTGGGCAACCCCTGGCTCAGGAAGGCTTCGGTCGGCTAGCTGCTTCAGCAAAGACCCGGGGATGGAAGTTATTCCGCCTTCGGCCTAAAATCCACATGTCCCAACACCAGAGCTTGAACAACCTACTTGGTGATTCGCTGGCAATCAACCAGCTATGCCTTTCGGATGCAATACACGAGCTATGACTAGCATGAATGGTCAGCTTGAGTATGATTGCACCTCCCGAGGTTTCGCATGCTGGCAAGATGAGGACTTCATTGGCAAGTGCAGCAGACTTGCCAGAACCTGTGGCCCTCAGAAGTTGACAAGCCGGTGCATGGAGAAGATGTTGGGAATGTACAAAAGGCAATTAGGGTCCAGCTAAAGTCCCGGAGAACCAAGCGCGAATAAAAAAGCTCAGGTCGCGGCCTCTTCGGCTGGATGTCGAAGGGACATGAGCATCACATCATCGATTAGAGCATTGGGGGATTTATCATCTTCCCAACCTACGAACACTTTTCCGAAGTTCGTATCGGTTCCTTTCCGGTTCGAACCACTTCCTGGGTAAACGCACAAGAAACATCGAAGCAACAGGGAAAAGTACTACAAACACAAACGAGCAGAAATAAGCCATCAAACGAACTTCTAGGTTAATCCTTCTAGACTTATATTATACTTCGCTTAAATAAGTTTGGTATTCCTTTGTTTATTCATGATTAGACCCAAAGGCCGAGGAGGCTCGGTTCGTGCCGTGTGTTTGTTTGGCGACATACGGTGCAGTCAAATGCACCATCGGTGCGGCACAATACAAGTTTACCATTGTCATGTGCAAGATACTTGCATTCGCTGCGATGTGATATGCATGTTGTTTGCAATACACACTACATCCAGGCTTCGCGCTATTTCTGTTTCAGTTCGTACGTGGTTCACGTGTATATGCGGCATACGATGTGCACGCTAACTTCTATCTACAGAGCCCAGTTACCTGGCGGTATCGTGCATCTTCTGCATATGACTCGACATGAAGGCCACTAAACTTTTGCAAGAACACCCCTAAACCCGTAAACCCTATTGGCCGAAAACCTGGAAGCGAGGTGTTCGGTTCACCCCAAGCCTATCCACGAGCAAGCCGTCCCAAATGAAGGCACGGAATCAAGGCTACTGGGTATTCGGGTTAGATTTGGGGGGTTTAGGGTTTAGGATTTAGGGGTTTAGGGTTTAGAGTTTGGCTTTCTAGCGGCTCCCGTGAGTTCGTTTTTACCTGTGTAGATCGTTATTGCTGTTGCCATGGCTTTTGTACTGGACGGGGCATCTTGGATTCCATAAACCCTAAACCCTAAACCCTAAACCCTAATCTGCCATCAGACAAGAGTTTCAGAGAATGTTTGGGACACGTCTTCTGAGGATCCTTCTGATCAACTTGGTCATAGTCTGCACTGTACCGCTATAACTGTTATAACTACCTAGGCCCAACCAAGGTCCAATCGCTAAGCCGCTATGCAGTTGAATCTCGTCCCGGCGCTTGCCCTCAACCCTAAACCCCTAAACACTAAACCCCTAAACCCTCAACACCTGAACCCTAATCCCCGGGTCCGAAGACTACAAACCCCAAGCCAGGGGGCGAGTTTGTCGAGGGACAGCTCGCAGCGGTGCTAAGTCCTCCCCTGTCACGAGCAGCCTCGGGCCCTTCAGCTACAAGGGTTTTTCGGGTTCTTCTGTTTCAGGGTTTAGGGTGAGAGGGTTTCAGGGTTAAAGGGTTCTTCGGTAGTGGATTTAGGGTTTAGAGGTTTCGGGGGTTTTAGTCTTCGGTTTTAGGGTTTAGGGTGCATGTAGGCTTTATGGTCTTCGGAACTTGGGGTTGTAGCGCTTAGGGTGATGGGGTTTTAGGGTTTAGTATTTAGGTATATTTAGATTCAAAGGTTTGTAGGGCTTCAGGCTTTGAAGTTTTTAGGTATAGGCTTTATAGGTTTCTATGAGGGTTTTGAATTTGTGCCGTTCCGCAATGGTTGTCACATGTTCGTTCTTATCGGAGATACTACAGAGAGGGGGACAGTTTTTTTGAGGGACGTCGTGGTTCGGGCTACTGCACGGATTAGGGTTTAGGGGTTTAGGGTTTGGTTTGGGGCTAATTACTGCATGTGCATACTAGGTTACGGCATTGTCTGGTCTGGATCCTACGACCTGAGTTACTTCTTGCCATGCGGACCACAGAGGCTGTTACTAGTACTTGGCTGGGTGTAGTTTCAGGGTTTCGCCTGATGCAGAAGCCAGATTTCGAAAATTATTCGGGTTTACACAGTGTCCAGGGTTTCTGGATTATCCTGATGCATTTAAGGTAAACGTAGTTACGGGAAATCACAGCAGCGGTGATCCTTCAGCCATGTTCAAAACCTCTGGAGTTCAAAGTGTAACTGTTCCTCAGCACAATGCATTGGACTTAGGACATTTCGGGCGTCAGGGTTTCGTCGTCAGCGCTGCGGGTTGAATCTCCGCGGCGCTGGGCTTTTCGAGGGCACACTTATGCACTCTCGGCTTAGAGGGGTACATTGGTTTGTTTGTTCAGATGGTTTCAAGTACATATTGTGTGGTTACCCTAGGGCTCCAGCTACCTGAATAGTAGGTTACTAACCATATATTCTGTAACCAAGAAGCCCAAAACCCTGAATGAACCCTTAAGGTAGCTTAAGGGTCATCCAAGGAACCCTCAAAGGAACCTCTAATAAACCCTCAAAGGAGCCCTTAAGGGAACCCTAAACCCTAAACCCTAAACCCTAAACCGAACCTTTAAAGGAACCCGTAAGGGACCTGTAAAGGAAGCCAGACCTTCCTCCCCGTAACTGAGGAAGATAGATTAAATTGTAGTAGGATCCCCAATAGTAATAAAACAATAATACTACATATATATATTTATATGATTATGAAATACATATATATATATATATGTGTATAAATTTATAGAGTGTATTCCTCAATTCAGGGATTTTTGGAAGGTCTGGGAACCCTGACTGTGCAGTCCCAGGAGTGCCGGAGAGTTTGACTGCTTCACACTTGTCACAGGTGGGGCTTGGTTTAGGGTTTAGGGTTAGGGTCTACAGGGTTTATGGTTGCGCCCAGAGACTGCAAAAAATCGGAAATTGAGGAATGTGCCTTGAATTATCAAGCCTGCGAACTCAGGTTCAAGGCATGTTCCTTAGTTTAAGGGGTTTTGGAGTCTCTGGGCATGTTCGGGGAGGTGCTGTTCAGCGTTTAGAGGGTTCGGGAGTTTAGATTTGAGAAGGTTTGGGTTGCGGGCTTGGGGTTGAGTTTAGGGTTTAGGGTTTTATCAGTGGGCTTTGAGTTTATGTCAGGGTTCAGGGTTTGCCGGTTAAAACATCCGAAACTTCCCCGGAAGTTCGGTTACCTATACCGCCGAAGGTCATAGGGTCGATAAGCCCATGTAGTGACGTAGCGGCTGTAGCGCATGTACCCACAGGGCCGAAACAGCGGCTACAGTGGTGCCTCAGCCCTTCGAGATAGGATGGCTTTCTGTAGGGTTCAGGGTTTAAAGTTTAGGACTACGGTGTGTAGGTGCAGCAACCTGTTTTTAACAGTTTAGATGCCCAAAATCGAGAGACCGGAGAAGAACACTGGAAAACCAGACGCGGGTCCGCAATATGAATTTTGTTGTTTTATCTCTCTCTCTCTCTGTCTCTCTGTCTCTCTCACACACACTCTCTCTCATTCTCTCTCTCTGTTTCTCTTTGTCTCCTCTCTCTCTCCCTCTCTGTGTCTCTCTCTTCCTCTCCTCATGGCAGTATTGGGCGCTCCGTCTGCTCATCGGGCTTGTAGACTTGGTCAAAACACCTGCTCCCAGAGACCAATATCCCTTGATTAAGGAATATACCCTAAACCATAGTAGGATCCCTCATGTGATTCAAGATATATTCCTTAATTCAGGGAGTCAGGGAGGTTAGAAACCCCTAAACCCTGTAGACCCCTTCTAGATATCCGAACGGAGACCCAGCCCTAGGCATATTCCTTAACTGAGGGATATTCGAGTCTCTGGGCATTGCAGACTGTATGGAAGCATGGCTTAGCCATCTCGGACCCAGTCCAGCACTGCCACCAGAATTGCGAGCACTTTTGGTATAGGGTTTAGTGCTTTTCGGGTTGGGGGATTCAGGGTCTACGGATTTTAGGGATTAGGACTTATAGTGTTTAAAATTTAGGGTGTAGGGGAAGGTGACATCAACGCACCCTGGACCCTGCATTAATTTCTGGAGGAGCCGACTTTGTCGAAAACCGCACTCAATTACCGACATCCTCTTGATCATCCGGATGACCATGCTCCTGGGAGTCGCAGCTGATTCTATTTGTTGCTGCTACTGTTTACGGATTCGGGGTTCTCTTGTGTGTTTGTTGTAGCCACTGGCGCTTAGGGACCCGGGCGCAGGTTTGGCGCGGGGTTTGTGTAGCGCAGCTTATGGATCATGCCCTCACGCTTGAAAGACTGCGCTGTTCCTACTGCACGGCTTACACGTCCAAGGCATGCTTGAACGCTTGCTCGTGTTCTGCTTATGGCGTAGGCCTGCGAGATTAGGGAGAATTTTCATTTTTGTCATGTGGGCTGGTTTCTTTATGAGGCAGAGCGCATTGGCGTGAACCTGAAAGAGGAGGGCGAGGACGAGAATCAGGAAGAGTTGATCACGGCAGCTTGCAGAATTAGTTGTTTCCTCCTAGGTTCCTCCGTAGAACCTGTTTGTCCTTTTGTCTATAAGGTCCCCTCATTACAACTGAACACTAGGAAAGCGCACCCGTATTTTTATGGGGGCACTGGGGAGCCCTGCTTGAACTCCAAGCTTTAACCCCTTGAGCCTCAGCCCTACCTAGACTCAGACCCCCCAACTACCCTCTATCATGCCCTATATACCCACTACTACATGGGCTCTATTAAAGGGCACTTGGGGGGTCCTTGGCCAACCCAGGCACCTCCAAAACTCAGCCCTGAACGCAAGCCTAAACCCTAAAATCCCTAAACCCGGAAACCCTAAACCCCGAAACCCTGAACCCTATATAAACCCCAAACCCCTTAAACCCCTACAGTAGAAGCCAACAAGGTGGAAACCCGATAGCCTCCATCCCTAAGAGTAAAGTATAGTGAGTCCCAGCACTGTTTGTCCTTAATTAGGTTTCCAACTTCTTGGAGTTTGCTGTAAACCCGAAGACCTTAACCCTAAACCCTAACCCCTAAACCCGAAGCCCTTAAGCCAGCCGACCCCAATCTCGAGGTCCTCAAGGATCAGCAGAAGAGAGTCCTCAGGACGCTGAGATCTGCTAGCTCCTCGCCGAGAACTGGGTCCTTGTCAAGGGATTTACTTAGTTTAAGTTCCCATGATTTAGGGTTCTATTGAGGGTTCTATAGCCTCAAAACCCTAAACCTTTTGATGAACCTTCCCAAACTCCCGACCGTTGCCTGTGAACCTACACGGGAGTAGGCTTTTGCGTTTAGAGTTCACGGTCTATGCTTAGCTTTTAGGCTTTAGGGTCTAGTCTAGTGCTTAGCTTTAAAGGTTTAGGCCGATATTTCAGAAAATGCTGAGTCTTATTCGTCCCCTTTAAGACAATATGTATATATATATATATATATATTTACATATTCATTCATTTATTGTTTATTTATAGTAGTGTAGAAATTTACTGGTTGAGCCAGTCGAGTGAGTAGGCACCTTCAGGTGCAGACAAACAACATCAAGACTGCAATCGATTCAAACACTAGCAAGCTCCCATGGTCACGGCGGTCTACTTGGAGGATCATGGGTCTTAGTAAGTGGGGTTATAAGTACCCTAAGTGAGGTTATAAGCAACTATAAGTATAGTTACCTTAATTATAACCCTAGTTACTAAGTCCCGTGATCCTTTAAGTAGAATCCCCCTGCAATCCCCAAGTGCTCAGGTAGATGCAGGTTGCAGCTTCTCAGTAGCTGCAAATCCGGACCCTGTCTACAAATCAGGAATGCCTTAGTATACTCTATCCTGCTTGCATAGATGTTTAGAGTACCCCAAGCCCGAGCTATCCCCTTTTGTTGCTCCCAAAACAGGATACTTTGCTTCGTCAGGCGTTCTGTCGGACCTCTATGGGCACAGCGGAAAGGGCGGCAACACGATTCAACAGATCGCGCACAAAGCAGCTTGCCAGGGACGTCCCGGAAGTGAAGGGCCTTTTGAGTCGCTAAGCCCTACCTTATAACCCCAAAGATCCTACCTTTTTTAGGGCTCCATTATTATGATGTCCTTAAAGAAGTCCTTAAACAGGAAATTAGGCTAAGTTGGGGTCCCTAAGCCCTTTTGGCCCTAAACCCGAGACCTCACTTGCAGGTTCATGGGTAGTTATAAGTAGGGTTATAAGTAGGGTAACTATACTTATAACCCGTATTAGGGGACTTATAACCCCACTTATAAACTATACCCATGAACCTCCAAGTATAAACCCTAAAGCCAAACCCCGAAACTTAAACCCTTGACCCACCCTTAGAAAGCCTCAACTCGAAGCCCGAAACCTTAACCCCTGAACCGAGGTTGCCTTAGGCTGCGTTTCAGGTCACCTTTGCATGCTGGGTAGGTTGAACATGTGGTCCTAAACCCTCAACCTTACCTTAAACTTAAGCTACCATAGCCTGTTTTTTGTAGGTCATTTTTCCAAACCCTACATGATATAGAATCTAACTGCCGGGACCCTAACTACAAACACTGGTCTTGGTAGTTCAAACTAAAGCCTACAGAATGAGCCTTTGCAATACGGGTTTGGGTTTAGGAGTTTAAGGTTGATGCGTTTAGGGTTTACGGCTTTGGATTGAGATGTTATATCCGAGCCGCATCGGATCTCCCTAAACCCTACTTCGAGGATCATGGGACTTAGTAAGTAGGTTATAACTGGGGTTATAAGTCCCCTAAGTCGGGTTATCCTAATTATAACATACTTATAACCCCACTTACTAAGTCCCATGATCCTTTAAGTAAACCCTATACCTGTAGCGCAACCTCCCCTGCTCGAACGAGCTCACGTATCAAGGCATGGGGGCACCCACATGCGCTACTACGGAAGCCTAAACCCTAAACTGAAATTAAATGCCCAACTGGGACTTTCCGAAAATAGGGGTACCTTATTCTGGGCTCCTCATAATAAGGATCTTACTATTTGGGGTCCCCTTTTTTCGGAATAAAGGAATTTTGGAGTTGAGAGTCAGGTTTGTCGAACGCTCTCGTCATTTTTGTTGCACAACTGGTGGCTTTTGACTTCTGAGCCATAGAGTCAAAACCCTAAACCCCTCAACCCTAAACCGCCTAAATCCATAAACCCTACACCCCTGAACCCCCTGAGAAGCCTTGTAGGCGAATGGTAGAACGAGGCTTTTCAGTCGTCTGGCTTCAGGGTTTAGGGTTTAGGGTTTAGGGTTTAGGGTTTAGGGTTTAGGGTTTAGGGTTTAGGGTTGCTTCTTCTTCTGGAATTCCCCCTGCACTTGGAGGTTCATGGGTAGTTACAAATTGGGTTATAGGTCCCATAATATGGCTCCTAGTTATAGCTGCCCTACTTCTAAACCTCTATCAGAACTACCCATGAACCTCCACCCCCAACCCCCGGCTATCTATAGTTACCCGATTTCTAAACCCCAGTTTTGACTACCCATGAACCTCCTCGCAAGCCCTAAGCCCCAAACCAGTTCTCGATTTTCTGTCGCGTGCGTCTGCCGAGGTCGTTTCTTCGGTGCAGTTCGGCTATGGTATCATGCAACTCGGTGGCCTAAGGGTAGCAATGGCTGCATGTTCACGATCATCACCACGATGCACACATGCAGTATTATGAAAGTAAGAGTTGGATAGAGTGAATACGCGCGATTCAGGTTCGTCGTCGCAACAACAGTAGGAAATGGTGGTAGTCTCATCCACATGTCCTCGTCGCAGTCGTCGTCGCGAGAGGAAGAACAACTCTGCTGTCAAAGCGCTGCGCCGTGGCCATCACCAGCCTTACGGAAGTCATGGCCTTGAAACCCTAAACCCCTACACCCTACCACCCTAAACCCTAAAACCCCTAAACCCCTAAACCCTAAACCCTCATGAGGGAAAATTCACTCGCCCGAGGTTGGTCATCGCGGTCAACCCCAAGCCCTAGATCTCTTACGCCACCCGAAGCCCTAAGCTCCTCAGCCCCAGAAGAAACCCTTAAAAACGCAGAAACCGTAAGGTTGCTCATCGTGGTCAACATGGTGATCATGGGCATCGAGGCACTCGTGGACTTCTCGGGCTCAGGGTGGAAATGACCGTATTTGGCAATATTCACAGCAGCAGCAACAACAACAACAACCAAAACGGCAGCGGCAGTGGCGACAGCAACGACAACCGCAACCACAACAGTGACAACCACAACGACAACAAAACCAACAACAGCAGCAGCAACAACAGCAGCAACAGCAACAGCAACATACCATTATGTAGCAACATATCGACAGCAGCAACAAACAGCATTACCATCATCATTCACAACAGCATTGATATCTGTAGTACACAGAATGAACATTAAGGTTAATCACAACATTAGCAACAAGCTTAGCAGCAACAACAACAGCATCTGCAACACCAGCCTCAACATCATTAACAGTTGTACTACTAACAACAGGAACGACAACGTTAATAACAACGCCAGTAACGAACAACAACAAGAATCAACAGCAGCATCACAACGTTAACAGCAACACTAACAACACCATTAACAACAACAGCAGTCACCACACCACCAGCAACCACAGCAGCAACAACAGCAACAACCACAACCGCCATGACGACGATAACGACAACAACAACGATAATATCAGCAACAGCAACGGCAACAGCAGCAGCAACAGCAACAACAACAGCAACACCATCAACAACACCAACAACAGAGCACCAAAAGCAACAACAGCAACAGCGGCGAAAACAGCAACAGCAACAACAACGACAACAACAACAACAACAACAACATCAACAGCATTAGTAGTAGCAGCAGTAGCAGTAGTGGCAGCAACAGCAAGAGCAAGAGAAACATTAACAGCAACAACAAAAACGACAACAACAGCAACAACAGCGGCAGCGACGACAGCGATAATGTTAAACAACATCAGAGATAGTAACAGCAGGTAGCAGTAGTACTAGATATGATAGGTACAGTCATCGCCATTTAGTCGTCGTTGTCGTCGTCGTAGTAGTAGTAGTAGTAGTAGTAGTAGTAGTAGTGGTAGTAGTAGTAGTAGTAGTAGTGGTAGTAGTAGTAGTAGTAGTAGTAGTAGTAGTAGCAGTAGTAGTAGTAGTAGTAGTAGTAGTAGTAGTAGTAGTAGTAGTAGTAGTAGTAGTAGTAGTAGTAGGTAAGAAGACCAAATTAATGATGCAAGTGCAAAATGACAAGAATACAGAGACTCTTCGTGGTTCAGGGCGTGATCAGGCTTTGGAAGAATTTGGAGCAGGGCCCTGTCTTTTAGCGACAACTAGTAGTCACGCCTTTAGGGTTTAGGGGTTTAGCGGTTAGGGCTCCTAAACTTTAAACCCCAACTACCCTACATTCGTAGATTCTTGATGATGGTTTCCTGCCGTTATAAGTCTTTGGAAAGATGGGGTTTTGGGGTAGGGCCGTAGGAGAGTTTAGGGTTTCGGGAATTGAAGCGGTTAACCTTGTTTGGGCTAGGGTACTCAGCCCCCCTGAGGCCCGAACCCCAAACCCCAAAACCCTAAGCCCTAAAACCTGAATCCTAAGCCCTAAACCCTGAACCCTAAAACCCTAAAAACCCTGAGCCCTAAACCCTAAACCCCTGAGACCCGGTTCAGGTGGATACAGTGGCCTCATTACGCCTCAACGAGGAGCCTGAGTGGTTCAGCAGCCTTTGCTGCATGGTCGAGGGGTTTATGGGGTAGTTTGTATCTTTTTCTTTAGGTTTTTTGTTGGGTCGATTGGGTTCTACGGTTTATCGTATGATTTTGTTGTACAGGGCTTCAAAAATTGATCTTAGGGTTCTAGAAGGCTTGCAGTTTGGTGGGGTTGAATGATCGAGGGGCCTCTTGATAGGCCTCATTCGCCAGTTCACGCGCAGCACGAGCAGAGGCTTCCTGACTGGTTTGGCTCTGGGTTCTCAGGTGAGAACGTTGCGAGGCCTGCTGCCAAATGCCAATTCAAGTCGCGTAACTCCTCCATAAGTCACAGAGGAAGTTCTTGCCCAACAGGCCTGGCGAACAAGATTGCAGTAAGCACCCCGACCCACCCCGCTCCCCCGATTATGAATGTGGTATATAGTACACTATACCCAGAACCCGCATGATGCTATACCCCAAACCACGAAGATGAATGCGGTACTTACATATGTAGTAGAGTCTACCCTACAAGCTCTACCCCTGCATCGAAAGCACACGGTGCCTTTGGGCCTGGATTCTACTTTCAACTCAGGCATCGTCAACAACGTCATCGTCGGAATTTTCACTTGCGAACTGGTGCTCAAGCAGCTTGGATGATGGAGAAATTCGGGGTTCAGGGCTGTATGGGGGCCTAAACAACAGTTACCAATTAGGGTTCCTAATTCTGCATATACACAATAAGGTAGTGGCCCAAAGCCCTATTCTAACTACTAAGGCCCATCTAGTATAGGGTTTCAGCAGGGGCTCGTAATTCCCAGAAGGGTAAGCCTGCCAGGGATTCTGTTACAAGGGGACCTTTAGGGTTTAGGGTTCGGGCCAACCTTGCACCCTAAAATCCTAAACCTTAACCCTAAACCCCTAAACCCCTAAACCCTAATGCAGTGCTACAAGGATACAAGGAACCATACACATCGAAAGCCAAGGCGCTACCAAATCTTATTGAGCCTGACAAGGGTTTAGGGTTGCAACCCTTCTGTGTGCCCGTAGTTGGGAGTTTCCGAAAATAGGGGACCCCAATATAGTACCCTAAATAGTAGGATCCTTATTATAAGGACCCCCAAACAAGGTACCCCTAATTTTCGGAAACTCCCAGTTCTTTACATCCTATCACCACCTACCCTCAACAACCTAACCTAAACCCTCAGCTCATCAGCCTAGAGCTCAATGCCTGAAGAACCCTTCCGAATCTTCGATCCATCATGTTTCGCTTGAGGGAGTTTTGGGTTCGGTGGTTTGGGTGAGTGGTTTATGGTTCAGGTGTGCATGATGCTACAAACCGTTCCGCAAAACGTTGCAGATCGAATGAGTGCTAAAGCTGCGAGCGCGATGATCAAGAGGTTCGGTTCGCCTTCTCGGCTCATGCTTTACAGTGAGACCCTAAACCCTAAAAAGCCTTATATACCCTAAACCTTGCAGTTCTGATGGGCGGGTAGAGCTTGATACCCAAATTCTTTGGAAGCTTGGCCATTTCAAGGCCCCTGCGCTCTGTGCTCCCCTTGAACCTCACATGACAAATCCGCAACCGGGGTTTGGGGTTCAGGGTCAACAGGCTAAGCCTTTTAGCAAAATCGTCCCACCCTCTGGCGCAAGCCTGAAGCCCCGAAACCTCAAGCCGCAAACCCTAGACCCCAATCCCTAAAGATGCCTGGCATCTCAAGTCGACTCCCTGAACCTCATGCTTCAAACTGCTGACTGCCCAGGGGAGTACCTGAAACATATAGGCAGCTCCTGTAGGCGTCATTATACTCTTTGGAGTTTCATGGCTAGTACTAAGTCGGGTTATACGTGCCTTAATATGATTTATTTATACCTAAACCCTGAACCCTAAAACCCTAAACCCTAAAACCTAAACCCTAAACCCATACACCCCTAAACCCCACCTAGAAAACCACAGTTATCACGAGCCATGAGCCTCCAAGATGGGGCCCCAGCAGCCCACCTTCACACTGTCTACTTTGGGGGTCTCTTTAGTAGGAAGTAGGGTAACTGTATACCGGGAAACCTAGTATAAGAAGAGGAGGATCTTACGAGTATCCGGTTTATCTGTTGAACCACCGAATATCCCAACATTTCGATATGGGGGTTCGAAAAGGGTTTAGGGTTTAGGGTCTCAGCAGAATGTCAGGTTCGCGGCATTTGGCTGTGCAGGGTTCTTCTGCGGTCGCGAGACACATGCTTGCAGAGACGAGTATTGGATTTTCGATGAGGGGGATGGGTTGATCCGTTGTTCTGTAAGCCCCTACACCCTGATCCCTAAACCTTCACCGTAGTATCGTGAGAGTGCTCCTTCTGCAGGCACGCTGACTTTAGAGAGTTAGATTGTATGGATTTATCAGCACAACCAGATCCCCAAATGCAAACTAGCATTGGCATTGACACTTGAACAGCGATTAGTAGCATCATTGTCAGTCGTATTCGTGGGGGAGTGGCGTGTTGGCACTTTGCAGCTGCGCTTTCGTGAAAAATCATGACCATAATCATATAATCATGATAATCATGATAATCATGATAATAATGATAATAATGATAATAATGATAATAATGGTTAGTTCCCTAAAAAGTCCTCAGCGTCAGATGGAACCCCCAAAGTCCTCGATTCGGCCTTCGGAGCCCTGCGCTTTCGTTGTTCGTAGCTCTTCGAATGTTTCCCAGAGGGTCCAGATACTCCCTATGATAGGACTTCAGGGTCTTTTAATTTTGAGGTACCAAAAACCATAAACTACGACTACTTGGACCCTTAGCGTCTCTAGATAGATTCTAGATTCTATACGTACGGCCCGGTTGCTCTTCTGTCCCTGATGTTTAGGATTCGCAAGCATCGCTGCGCTTGTGTAGCTTCACCCGAGTCGGTGAGCACTTCCATTCGTCCAGATCTTGTGACCCCCGAACAATGAACCCTAAACTCCTAAAGCTTTTACTGTAAGCCCCAACAGCCAAAGGGCCAGACCCCGACAAATACGCAAAGCGATGCCTTGCCGAACCGAAGCGAACAGGTACAAACCCTTCTACAACCCTTTAACAGAATCCTTGAGAAATCCTACAGAAACCCAACCTCCATCGCAGCATGTAGGAGCTCAGAGATCGGAAGCCTTCGACACCAAGCCCTTTAAATCATCTGAGGGGCTGCCGAAATGATGGCCATACCGGGGCGAATGTAGAAATCATCCAGGGTTTAGGGTTGGCAGAGATCCCACAGACAGCACTTTCCAGATTTGCACGACGCCAGTTATTTAGAGTACGAAGTTCGCAAAAACCTTGCAAGGTCTTTTGATTTTCTGCAGTTGCTCTACGGGCGCATGAGGAAAGGGGTCGCAACCTATATAGTACTAGATAGGGTTTCTATGTTAGGAAGTAGTATTTACTGTTTTGATTTATGCAGGCTCATGAAGTAAGGGGTATTTTCACAGGGTCTCAGGGTTTAGGGTAGATGAGTACATCCTGGAAGAAGCCCAACGACATGCCCACGCAAGCCCTATCTTGAAACCACTGGGAAAGCTCCTAGCCCTAAGCCCCACATAATATGTATATATATATATATATACACATGTATAGTATATACACATGTACTTGTGCAGTTTTTTTTTTTTTAAGTTATGTTTGTGTATATGTAAATGGATGTGCATATGTAGATGTAAAGGTATAGGCATAGGCATAAACATGGGGATAGGGATAGGGATAGGTATAGGTTATTGCAGGTATAGGTATAGGTATGGGGATAGGTATATATGTATATGTTATGACAGGTATGTAGGTATATTTATTTATATGTATATATATATACATATAGATATTGATTATATATGTACACATGTATACACAGGTAAACATACATCATCCAAAAGCTCTTCCCCACTCGCTCAGAGTCGGTTTTGCCTAAGGTGGAAGACTGCAGCCGCATGAACGAATAGACAAGAAGACAAACACGGTTGATAACGATAACAATGTATACTCAATGAAAAAGAATAGTGAGACTACTACCTATATGAATAATCAGCGTAATATCAACACGAAGCCTAAAATCTCCATACGGAGCCAAAAACCGAAACCGCCCTAAACCCTAAGCTTCCTAACCTTAAACCCTAAACCTTAAACAGAAAGAAGCCACTGCACTTAACAAAAACAAAAAACCCTTAAACTCTAGACCTTATAAACCCTGAACCCTGAACCCCAGGAAGTGGTTTAGGGTTCATGGGGAGCCTAAAACCATAACCGCCCCTGAACCCCAGGAAGTGGTGGAACATTTTTGACCTGGCTATCGTCGGAGCATCGATCATCGAGACGCTGACGGATCTGATAAGCAAGGGACTGGTCCCTTTGCGGCCAATGGAGGGTAATATCGATTCTTTCCTACATATAGGTGTGTGTCTGTGTGTTTATATATACGAATTATGTATGTATGTATGTATATATATATATATACATACGCATGTATTATAAGCCCTAGGGTTTAGGGTTTTGAATTTTTTTGGGTTTAGGGTTTAGAGTAGTTTGGAGTGCTGCTCAGCGAGTCTTTGGAAGGCCTGAAAGGGCTTTGACAGAGTGGTGTAAGGCAATGGGGAATTGTTTTCATACTGTTGATGATATAAATCCCGCATTACCTCAAGGACCCTGAACTATGGGATTTCTTTTTTATTGTATCATCAACCATAGGGCTCATGAATACTTGCTGGGAACATTCCCTGACAGTCCATCGTAGCCACCATAGACTTAAAAGTGCAATACTCTGCGCGTATGCCCTGGGTAAAAACCAAATTCAAGAGGATTAGAGTCCCAAAATGAGTGCGGCTGCGACTCGGACCATCAACTCTGAGACTCTAGTTGTCCAGTTGGATTCCAACCTCTCCGTATGGCTTGTGCTTTGGGTGATCTGCCGGAGGAAGAGGGAGGGCTTGCAGGTGTTCCTATAGCAGGACCTTACAACGCCTAGGCATCCAAACCGTTGGAGGTAGTCTAGGCAGTCTTGGGCAAGCCTTGAGATTGGCTTGGCTAAAACCCGAGAACTCCTTCAGAACGCCTAAAAGTCTAGTCTCGGAGAGTTCCGAAGCCCATACCATAAGCATGTAAGAGCCATTTAAGAACCCAAAACCCTAAACCCTGGGCGCTAAGCCCCTAAACCCTAAACCCCTAAACCTTAAACCCCTAAACCCTGAACCCTAAGCCCCTACACCCCTCAACCCCTAAACCCTAAACCCTGAGTCAGATTGGGCATCTTTGCCCCAAGACCTCCGAAAGCATCGGCTGAAGGCTTCGCAAGGCGGTGAGGCCATGACCCTTGGCCTTTTCAGGAGTCAGGAAGGACAACAAGAAGAGCAATATTGAAGATAGTACTGGTCAGAAATATGGTGGTAAGAGAAAGCAGCAGCAATCATAAAGATGGTAGTGGTAACCCTATGAAGAACTAACAAAAGTCTTGAGTGGCAGCAGTCTGCAATAGCGTCACTTTCGTGATCATTCATAGTAGTAACAATGCAGGAGTGTTGTAGTAATTGTTAGTTACTATCACCAGTGATCAGGAACAAGTTCACATGACACTACTGGCCATAAAAAGGATGGTGCAAGTTATAGTTTTTGAAAAGATGATCAAAGCAACTTGTATAATGCTTGTCCCAATAACAATACGAAGGGCTTTGCTTGTTTTGGCGGGGTGTACGGTGTACGGTTTTGGGTCTCGGGTGTTCTGGCTTAGGGTCTGTAAGCTTTAGTTTGGGGTTTGGGTTGTCGGCCTTCTGTGGTGCCTATAAGCCAAATTCAACTGTGCGGTGTGTTGGCGAGGGGGCGGCGTTTTGTTCTTGACTCTAGGGCTTATGTCCGGCTTGAACTTTTCAAACCTGGTAGGTTTCCTAAACTCTACCATTTGCGGTTCTGGGCGCCTTTGATTGCAGCTCGTTAAAGTAACACGCAACGCTACACCCATGATGCCCTAATGAAGCCCTCAACCCTAAACACTAGACCCTAAACCTTATTGCACCCGATAACCCGACACTCAAGCCACAGCTTCCTTCAGACCCATAAGCAAGTGTAGAGCCTAGATAGGTACCCATTTGGTATAACTTTTGATTTGTCTTTGGGTTCAGCAACAGCCCGTGTTGAAATCGATACTGAGATAGGGCTGAAGGTTTGTCAGGTGTTTAGGGCATTGAGGTTTAGACTTCAGTGTGCATGGTTTACGAATTCTGGTTTAAGACTTGTAGGATGAGGAAAATCTGCTTTCAGCAGTTTAGCAAGCCAAAGATTTGCTGATCTACACCTCGGAAACACGACGCCGCGAGATGATGATAATGATGGTGACGATGATGATGACGACGACGAGGCTGACAATGATCATGATGATGATGATGATGTCGACGACGATGCTTGCGATAATGATGATGGCTGGAGTTTTTTCCCTCGAATATTCGGCACAACAGCCGTCAAGCAACTCTGCCACCCCCGACTGGGGCCGCTACACCCGGGGCCCTTCATGAAACCCTTTCAGAACCCGATACCGGGCTCTTGCAGACAGATGACCCTTCAACTGCGAAAGCCGAAACTCAAAGAACCTAAAGCCAACACAAGCTAAACCTTTAAATCTGATACATGGTAAACCCGACACCCTTACCGCAAACTCTAAATCCTTTACCCCAACCAAGGCCCGAAACTTATGGGAGTTTCCGACAAGTAAAAGGACCCCAGAATAAGGTACCCCTAATTTTCGGAAACTCCCTTATCAGCCGGGATCCCCAACCCCCAAGACAAACATAAGGAACTCCAGTCACTTACGAATCATGCGCTTCACGCGCGTTGCGCGGGCTCTTCGTGGAGTGCGGGTGTTTCGCCTCCTGCGCCCCGTGGCCGAGGTTGATGTGGGGCTTCGGGGTTCGTTCGATGAGGGTTCAGGATTTAGGGGTCTAGGGTGCAGGGCGGGCCTTGTAGGTTTTGCGAGCAGTTTTGAATTCGGAACTCGGATGCGCCGCTTAGTGGTTTAACAAGGCCATGTTGTGAGATGACTAGCAAAATGAGTAGTTCTATAAAATGAAAACGCTAAAACCATAAACCATAATGTCAAGACTTCAAACCCTGAGTGCAAACACCTGTTCATGACATGTAGAGTAGAGAACCTCGGATGCCGGATAATGGAGGGCCCTACCCGAAGCCCTAAACACACGTTGAGCTTTGCAAACTACTTTTGCGACCCATCCCTTACACCCGAAACCGCCGACAACTTGTAAAACAACCTATCCCCTACGCCCTACCTATCGTCTCTAGTGTAGTTCCTTTTTTTGGTTAGCCAAAAACTCTGTTATAGGATCCTAACCATAAAATTGGTTGACCAAAGGAAGGAACTACCATGGAGACTATAGGTGGACCCTAAACCCAAACCCTAAATCCTAAACCTTCTGTAAAGACTGAGCCAAACTCCCAAGACCCAGCCAGGCGTGCTTTGCCTCGGAATTACATGGAAGCCCCTGCAACCCAAATCGCATGCGGGCCTCCCCTTCCGAAGAACCCCTAGCCCAAAGGGTCCTATGTACCTATTATATAGTAGAATGTAGTGTTTCTATATTAGGAATTACTATTATGATCCAGGGAAGTATCCCCCATAACAGTACATAGGACCCCTGGGTGAGGGCGACCCCAAGACCGCCCTATATCAAGTTCCGATTCCAGTTCTTTGGAGCTGTCGGGAAGGCCACTCAACCCTAAACCCTAAAGCCCAAGCCCTAAACCCTAAACCCCAAAGCCCAAGCCCTAAACCCTAAACCCTAAACCCCAAAGCCCAAGCCCTAAACCCTAAAGCCCAAGCTGCAGAGATTTGCTAAGCCCAGGCTTTATCAGTGCCCTGCGAGCGATCATCTTCTCCATCAGCAGCACAATGTGTCTTTGCTCCAGCTGCTTCTGTCTTGCCAAGGGGCTTCTGGGGAACCGAGAGACCTCAACCGAAGCCCTCAGCCGCAACGAAGCTCCCCTTAGTATATACATTGGCCTTAAAGTATTCCCTATATCGGTACGTTGGGCGCAAGGTACCCTTACGGCTGTTTAGGGGCTTAGGGCAGGGGTTTTGGGTCTAGGGTCCGAATAACCCCTAGCACGCAGGGTCTACCTAGACCGACAACCCTACTTTTTTGTAGGGTCTCATTATGAACCCTAATGTGGTATGTATAGGGACCCTAAAAAAAGTAGGTTCTAGTAGGTTAAGGTCGAGCCAAAGATACGCACAAACACAGTAGGATCCTGTTGACAAGAGCCCCTTTAGGCAGGGCCCACGATGTTTGAGAAGCTTCAGGGGTTCAGGGTTTAGGGCTTGGGGCTTAGGGTAGTGTGGTTTAGGGAGGGTTTGGGGCTTGGGGTTTTGGGTTTACGATTTTTTCAAACTCTCGGATGTTGGCTTTCGAGGTGGTCCCTGGTTTGGACCCTTGTGCTCCTCGTGATCCTTTTCTACTGCTTCGGCGTGATCTTGGCACAGCTTCTCATTCAATTCTCAGGGTTTAGGGTTTTCAATCCTTAGGGTTTACAGTAACCCCCAGATTCTTACTGGGAATTGAGGCTATTGGGTTTCAAACTTTGGGGCTTCTACTGTAGCGCTGATCCGTTCAGATTTTAGAGGTTCGGCCTTTGGGTCAAGATCTGAGGTTTCAGCATCGAAGTGTTCCAGGTGTCGGGGGCTGAACCGTAAAGAAAGGCATCTCGATAGTTGCTCACCGTAGATCGTCCTATATCTATACACACCGAAGTATGGTAGACCTCAAAACCACGTTCTAAGTACAAAGGTTCCCCTAGTAGTAGACTTTAACCTTTTTTGGGTAGTATAGTCCCTATATATACTCCCTACATAGCCAAAAAGGTTAACCTTTAGTTCCCCATGACCTTTAGTTCCCCATGATACCCGACAAGTACGTAGGTTCCTATGTTGCAGACTATGGAGTTCGCAAGCTCACTCCCTCGCTTCATCCCGCAACCCCGACCCTCAAATTCCTGTCCATCTTGCCGGACCCCAAGAGTTTGGGTTTAGGGGTTTGGGGTTTAGGGTTTGGGGTTTAAGGGTATAGAGTTTGGCGGGTTTAGGGCTTAGGGCTCCGACTCTGATACATCCTAAAAGGTCTCTAGGGGGTAGACTTTGCAGAGTCCTGCCTTGCGGTCTAAGGGATATACTTGGAGGATCATTGGACTTAGTAAGTGGGGTTATAAGTACCTTAAGTGAGGTTATAAGTAGCTATAAATATAGTTACCTTAATTAAGCCTAGTTAGTGAGTCCCATGATCCCTTAAGTAGACTGTCATCCCAGGACGAACCTGGACCCAAGGACCTACCCTAAGGCTCCATGGTCTTTTTTGTGGTTTATATCTAGATTCCAAGAAGGTAATCCCAAAATGGAACTATTATGGGGCCTTAGGTTAATTATTAGGTCCTAGGTCCTTTTCGAGATGTTCGCCTGAATATCGTCTGACACCCTGCAACAGCTCCTATTCCATCCTATAGCCCTGAGCCTCAGCAGACGTTGCCTTACGATGTACACCAAAAAAGAAATATTTCTCCCTAAACCTAAACCTAAATCAGGGAGTTTCCGACAGTTGGGGTTACCATATTTGGGGTCCTCATGACGGGGGTCCTTCTTTGTACTATTTTAGGATCCCCTACTTTCGGAAACTCCCAGATATATACCTCTTTGCCAAGGTTGGTCTCGGACTTTTGCCGATGCTCGGCACGAAGACGCAGGATTTGATAGTCGGAGCTAGATGGACATCGCTTGGTCACTCCACCCGAAACCCGTAAACCCTAAACCCAACTCCGTAAACACAAGGCCCTGCGCCCTGCAGCTCTATGGCCCACTCCTTAAATTAAGCCCCTACAACCCAAACCCTTAAACCCAAAAGCCCAGCAGCTTACAGCTCTAAACCGTAAGCCCAAGGAACTGCACCTATGCGATTGTTGGGGCTCCTGATTATTATGATAATAGTCAAAAATGGCCCCCCGAAGCCCTACTCTAACTCTTGAGGCCTAACATACCCCCCAAAACCCTACTCTACTTCTTAAGGGCTAACATACCCCCCTAAAAGCCCGACTCTACTTCTTAAGGCCCCGTGTATATTGGCAACTCGATGGCCTGAGCCCCCGCAAGAGCCCCTCCCACGGATTCCCATCCGCTGGGCTCTGCAGCCCTGAAACCCCTTCTCTTTAGGGTTTAGGGTTTAGGATGTAGGGTCTAGGATTTAGGGTTTAGGGTTTAGGGTTTAGGGGTTTAGGGTTTAGGCTTCTCCGGACCCCACGCCGTTAAGCTGCAAAGCTGAATGCACAAGGACTACAACCACAAACAAGGCAACACATAGTTACACGTAGACGTAATGATTTCAATAGCCACAATCGTAGGACCAGCTACCTACTCCAACCATTATTACTCGTGGTTCTTTAATGATCGTTCATAGACATATAATGGCTGCCTAAAGTCTCCACTCTAGTTCCATTTGGGGGTTAACTTATAGGATCCCAGTTATAAGATTGGTCAGACCAACACAAGGAACTGCAATGGAGACTATAGGTGAACCCTAAACCCTAACGTCCTCAACCCTAAACCATAAAACCCTAAACTCTGAACCCTAAGCCATGTAACCCTAAACCATAGAAACCCTAAACTCTAAACCCTAAACCCTGTGCCAGGAAACTCTAAACCCCAAGCCCTAAACCCTTAAACTTTGCATCTTAAAAATAGAAGAACCCTTAAACTCTAAACCCTAGACCCAAGCCCTCCATTGTAGTTCCTTTTTGGGTTACCTTCAAGGATCCTCACTACGTATTTGGTTAAACAAAAAAGGAACAACAATGGAGACTATAGGTAAACCCCAAACCCTAAACCCTAAAATCCTCAACCCTAAACCATAAAGTCCTGAACTCTAAGCCCTAAACCCTGTACCAGGAAACCTAAACCCTAATCCTTGAATCCTAAACCCTAAACCCAAGCTCAGGCTACCAGCGCTACGAGGACGAGACCCTTTGGGCTAACGGCATCTGCGTGCAGAAAGACCTGCAACGCTGGTCCGGGGTGCCGGAAAGTGGCCCGACCCCGGTTTAGGGTCTATAGAGTTTACAGGGTTTAAGGCTTAGGGTTGGGTCTTCGCATTCACAGTCTAGGGTGTGGGGTTTAGGTGGGGGGGATGGGGTAGGGGTTGCCGTTTCAAGGGTGTTTGAGGGTTCTTGGTATGTTGGATTGTGGCTTGAGCTGACTTTAGACCTGTACGGGTTATAGTTCAGAATTCAAGGTTGTAAAGCTTTCCATTTTCCGGTTCGGGTTTCAAACTTTAGGTTTTGATGCTTTGGGCAGCAGCTTTCTTTTGGACTCGAGTGTACGAAACCCAAACTTTGCACCCCGCACCTTACATGGGCTCCAACAGAAAACCTGAGTACTTAGTAGGGTCAGGGTTGAAGGTTTGAGTTTGCTTGAGCAATACGCTTTAAAATGTCGGCACGACTTGAATCGAATAGCAGTATCCTTTATGGCAAGGCTCCCAGACGTGCCACCAGGCCCTACACCCCAAAACGGAATCCTACCCCATCACAGCAGGTATGATGACGCTCTTCATGTCCATCTCGGGAGGTTTGTCTTGGGAAGATGCACTGATACCACTTCGCAGCTTGGGCTGTCAACCCTACACCCCAAGTGCTGCAAGCCCAACTATTGTTGAGGCCTAAATCGTTACCTATACTATGCTTTTTTGGGGGGAGGAGGTCCTTATTATAAGTATATTGGGCCCCAAAACCCTACTCTAATTATGAAGGCCGCAATATTAAGCCCTTACCAATTAGCCTGAAACCATATAGCCCCAAAGCTCCTATGTCCTGAACTACGTAAACCGCAAAGCCTCTAAACCCCCTCAGGCCTTTCTTGAAGCACCCTCACTCCCTGACGCCTTATACCGTAAATGCAGGAGTAGGGTGCAGGGTGTATCTACGGCTCAGGGCATGTAGAAAGGGGTTCGGGTTTCAAGGCCAGCGTGTTGGATTTCTGCTCTTGTGGATTTAGGGAGCCGTTTGTTTTGTCTGGAGCTTCTGCATGTCATTCTATCAGCTGGGGATTTCTACTCAACCGAACGTCCGAGTACCTAGTAATAATCGTTCAGTTCATATACTGTCCCAAGTACTCACCCGCACAACGTTTGTCCTTTCCTTCCTTAAAGGAAGCCATCATGAATAAACAGTGTAGTTTTGTGTTCTCCCCTGTTACCTTAGAGCCCGGTATTATGGTCCGTTTGGGCCCATTGGGTTGCGACTTGAATCCAGACGCCCACATAGGGCTCACTAGTTTGTACGACTATTACTTATAGGGTCCCGTTAACGGGTTCTAAACGGGCTACTATAAGGTGTACTACGACGAGGGCTTTGTGAAATAAACGTAAAGAGACAGTCATGCCATTCCTTAGGGCTCCTTGCTATGACTGGACTTGAGCATCCCCCAAGCCCTATTCTGTTTTTTATAGAGGGTTTAATTCAAGTTAAACAGGAAATCCGTATTATTTACTATAGATCCCTTTTATGGTAACTTACATTAAACTCCTTAAGAAGATTCCAGCATTCCAGTTTTGAAGGAGCCCAACATCTCACCCAAGGAAGAGTCCTCCATGTGTAGCCGGGGCTTCGACTACGGAGCCCTCGAGAATACCCTAAACCCTAAACACCCTAAAGCCTAAACACCTAAACCCCAAACACCCTAAACCCTCTAAACCCTAAACACCCTAAACCCCACACACCCTAAACCCTAAAGACCCTAAACGTTACTCCAGCTTGCTGGCCGGCCCCAGATGGCAGCATGAGGTTAGGTTCCTTTTTTTGAGGCTAGAGAAAACACAAGGCAGCCCAGAGTCGAACCACATTTACTCATAAGGACCCTTAGGGGGGGAGGGGCCCGGTTCAGGGTTTAGGGTTTAGGAGGGGGTAGTAGGGTAGGGGTTAGTACCTATAGTTAAGAGTTTATAGGGTCTATTCAAGGAAGTAAAGTCCCCTACGCCCCTTTACGGGTTGAGGTGCCGTAAGGGAACGTCTGTAACATGTAACGAAATCAGGAGCTGTGCGAGTTGTTTTACCACAGTTGCGGCCTAGACCCTGATTTTCTAAACCTGTAAAGCCGAAACTGTTCATCCCAAAACCCTGAAACCCTGAACCCTGCAATCCGAACCCTTCAGTAAGCCCCAGACCCACAAGGGCCGTTCATCACACCAACTAGGAGAAGTCTCGGCGTTGGCAGCGGCCTGCATGATCGTGTTCATCGTAATCACTGTGTTCGCAGTGATGAACGCCGCTTCGACACAGAGTCGAAATTTCAGAAAACTTCAGGCAGCTTGTGAAACAACAGAGCCTGTGAGAATGCATTGTTTAAATGTTGGGTTCCCAGACGAAACGGCGCATAGGGCGGACTGCAACAGGCACGTGTGGGACCCGTTGAGAACCTGTTAACTGCAATTAGTGTATGTACCTCCGCGGAGTAGTGGACAAACATGTGTCGCACGATTCTTGACGTAGTGTTGCAAGAGATTGCATACCTAAGCCCTGAATCCTACAGCTATGCCATGGGCATACTGCCGCTGACATAAATTGTTGCCAGACACCCCCTGCCGTACACAAATGGCCCCAATTCCAAGAGAAGTTTCTTGATAGAAGCCCACAGTCTCCACTTCCCCCGCCTTAGTAGTTCTAGGATGCCCAGCAGTACCCTTATTCCCTTTTTGTAGTCCTAGGTTCCTTATAAAGTTACCCAATACCAAAAAGAGAGGCCTTTTTATTCTTAGGTTACTGGGTATCCTAGAGTTCAATAAGCAGTTGTTTACCTTTAGTCGAGTATTTTGTTCGGGCCAGAGTTCTCAGCCCCTGAGTAACCCTAAAACCCTGCACCTCAGAACCCTTACTTAGAGGATCATGGGACGTAGTAAGTAGGTTATAACTGGGGTTATAAGTCCCCTAAGTGGGGTTATCCTAATTATAACCTACTTATAACCCTACTTACTAAGTCCCATGGTCCTTTAAGTAATGCCGTGATACGTCAGCAAGAGACGCTTCCACACTTTGCATCTCGAATCCGGAAAGCCCGTGACCCAACTTTAGGGTACAGGGGTCAGGGTTCAAGGCTTAGGGTTAAGGCTCAGGGTTTAGGCTGCCCTGCTGAGGTTGTCACAGGTGCCTCTGCTGCACTTGGCACGTGGCTCAAAGTCTTGGGGTTGCGCGATTGGGATGACAGCTTAGGGATCCAGCTCCGACTTGCATTCCCGGGGCTGCCACCGAAAGCAGCCAAGGAATACGAGGTGCTGAAAGCTTGGTGCGTTGAGAAACAGGAGGATGTTTGAAGCCAGCCAATCAGATAAGGGCAACATGGAGAAGCTGACGCCAAACCCTGAACTGTAATACAGGGGCCTAAACAATTTCCTACACTATTTTGGGGTTCCTTATTATAACGAATAGTAACTTAGTATAGAGTATCGTGGGCCCTAATTACTAAGGCCCTTATGTTAGGCTTGACAACGCATCCTTGTTAGCTTGCAGGCCTTGTGGAATTCAGCTCCACAGTCTCTTTCTTAGAATTGGAAAGTAACCTAGAGGCTCCAAATATAGTACCATTATGGAATTAGGTCTCAAAAGCCATGATATGGATGGTCTTTTGAGACCTAATTCCATAATGGTACTATATATTCCTATTATAGAAACCCTACATTCGACTATATCGGTACTTTGGACCCTTTGGGATTGGAAAGTAAGGGAAGAGGGCACCCGTATTGCTATGGGGATACTGGGGACCGCAGGGGTGGCTCATTGAAATCATCACCATCGTCATCAGTAGTAGTAGTGGTAGTAGTAGTAGTACTCACTCACTCACTCGGTCACCGTGCTCGTCCAAGTCAGCACAAGGTGGGGACAGGCGCTAGCGCCCGGCGATTCTAGATCGCACCGCAGTTACGGCTCCGGAACAAAGTGGTTCGATTGACCACGAAATCATTAACTAGTCCATTTCATCGAGCACCAAGTCGAAAGTCGAAAGTCCTGTACAACTCCCACGAGCGGTACTTGAGCTGAGTCTCGCATCTTCCACTGGCGTACTAGTGACAGACGGCACGCAAGTGGGAAGAGATCCCACCTGCGTGACTGTCTGAGCGCCTGGTGAGCCAGACAAGCCTGGCAAGGAGATTGAAGTAGCAGCCCCATCTGGAAAGTCAGCTATGCTAGCCGAGCCAGCCGATCCTTCCTCAGTAGCCGCGTCCATCGGCATGCCATCCGCTGGGAGCAGGACTGCGCTCGCCGTGGAAGTAGTGCTCGTGTTGCCCGTAGTGTGCTGGGTCATCCACTGACAGCGAGGTGTGTGTGTTATAGAGCCCGAGCGCGAGCAGGAAGAGCAGCATGTACGATGACCAGCATGCGCCTGCCTTGCACAGCCTGCAGTTCTACACTGGAAAGTAGGGGGAGGGCCTGATGTGGAAAAGTCGTGCTCATGGAGTTGTCTAAGCATCCGCTGATGTCGGCGACATCGTCTTGTATGGAATCTGCCTCCTCCCACTGAGCAAGAGCTGCAGCAATGTCGATGATTGGCCTGACCACTAAGCTGAAAACGCAATGGGCAACCCGGAGTAATACATCGATGCAGTGCTGCTGTCGTCATGAGCCACCAACAGGCAGACGGCGTATCGCCGTGCTGGCCACCCCTCAGGGCCAGCGGAAAGGAACCGCGCGGTGGCAGCTAACGACAGGACAGCGTCCAGGCTGGCCGCCCCTTAGGGCCAGCGAGTGTCGACAGCAAGGCGCCCCGTGCGCGAGCTGAGCAGAGTAGAGATCAATGGAGTGTCCTGCGCAGGGCCGGATATGATAGTGTCACAGCGTGCGGGTGCGTGCGTGTGACAGTCCGATAGCACACAGTAATTGCCTAGGGCAGGGGATCGCGATGCGGCAGCAGTTGCACGGCGTATGGCATGGACCTGAGGTAGGGTACATCGGGTCAAAGGGGGGGGGGGAGGCAACTTAGGGCAACTTAGGGCAAGCACCTACAGAGGTGAGGCGAGGTAGAGTATCAGCAGGAGGTAAGTGCACTCAGCGGTGTGCATGCATGCACTGCTCTGACTCACTTTTCTTTTACGCTTGTGAGAGCTACCGCTTCAGGACCAGTGTGGCCGACACCGATAGCACGTGCTTGCTCTTCGGCTCGTCTCTGTCTAACACCCACACACAAGCCCTGCGCGAAAAGCACATCGACCAACGCCTACCCCTGGCGTGTGCGCCAAGTGCCGCGCAGAGTATTGCACGTGCTCTACGGCCAAAGCAACTGTGCCAGTACCCAACCGGTACCCAACCGACCCCAGCCGACCCCAATAAGGACTCTTAGGACTCTTACAAACCGACGAATGTGCAAGCAGGCATTCGAGAGGATAGCATACGACTGTCGCACAGTTGGAGGAAAGGCTTTACTCAGAAGTCTCGGCAAGGTCGTTCTCGGGCATGGTGTGGACCGATGGCGGCAAAACAAAGCCCAGGTCTGAAAGATACCGGGCCGTGCCAGGCAGCAGAGTCTGTGGCCGTTGCACAGTAGTAGTAGTAGTAGTAGTAGTAGTAGTAGTAGTAGTAGTAGTAGTAGCAGTAGTAGCAGTAGTGGTAGGAGTAGTAGTAGGAGTAGTAGCAGTAGTATTAGTAGCAGTAGTAGTAGTAGTAGTAGTAGTACTGGTAGTATTGGTAGTAGTAGTAGTCTCATTCCAATATGAAGTATCATTCCAATATGAAGCAAGAAGTTGGTCCAGCTCTCATGCTAAGATGGTCCCCCCTTTCACTATGAGGGGCTCACTGAGATTTCCTGTCCATTTGGAGCCAGAAGAAAGTTAGTCAGAAATTTGTCCAGCTCAGGCGTGTTCTGTAACACGGCCATTGAGAATGCCAAGGCCGACAAGGACGCCTCGGGGTTTAGGGTATTAGGAATCTGGGAAACAAGGAAAGCCGGTTATGACGCTGTCATGATGTTGTCATCGCCTGTGTTGGATACTAAAGCTGAAGGCCTGCTTGAACTTGAGTGCTAAACTCTGGACTGACTCAACCTACACCCTAAACCCTACTAAACCCTAAACCCTGTAAGCCCGAAGCCCTGCTAAATACCCTACATCCCAAGCTAGGGGCCTCTAGAGTGTAGGGGGTCGGGCTTGGCGGTATACTGTATTGTACACCCTTTTTCTAGGAAGCTCCGATATGTCTTCAAGCTTGTTTTTGTTTAGGAGTTTAGGGTTTAGGTCTTGAACTTGGGGTTTGCAGGGTTTACGTTTAGATTCTGAGGTTTTGGGTCTAAACAGTTGAGGGCTTAAGTTTGGATATTGTGGCTTTAGTTTTGAGGACTTAAGGTTGAGGCTGTTGAGGTATCTCCTTGGTGGCCTTCCCCCTGTATATACAAATGCTTGAAGCCTTAAACCATCGTCTTAAACCCTATGGGCCCTACATACCACGCAGCAAGCAAGTAATGCCCTGAGCACGAAGCTGCCACGAGGTGCGCAAGTCCAGCTACCTTATCACTTATCACTGCACTGTTGGGTGCTTGGCCCCTAGTGTTCCAGTTCTTGGGCAATGGATTTCAGTGTAGACCCCTGCTCTACTCATCATTGAAACAACCGGTATATTCGGAATCTTAGTAAATAGGCACTTCAACAGAAGCTGCTTCTCCGATAATTCTCCATGACTGACTTCTTCATGCACAAGACTTCGACACGCTGAACCCAAACGCAGAAGAACTCAAGCTTGAACACTGCATCAGGTCTAGCCTACACTGAAACCCTACGCCCGCAGCCTTAAGACCGAATGCGAAACCCAGAAAGCCTTGAAGAAGGACATCGCCATTATGAAGCAGATGCACAAGCACGCAGCGCAGGTGGAGGTGTTACGCACCTTGGTGTCATCTAGGCTAAGTGTTTGGGGCTTGGAGTTTCGGATTAGGGATGTCTCTGAGCTTTCGTTTGGCAGCCTTGGAAACTTAATTAGGTCACCTCATTTGGGGGGGCCCTTCTCGTAAGGATGCGGTTTACTTAGGGTTCTATGCTTAAACGCCTATTCTGCCGGACTTTCTGAATCTGTGACAAGGACGTCGCTTGCTTTCTTGGTGATTTTCTTTAGGCCCTCGGGTGTGTTTGCGTAGAGTTGAGAGGTTGAGCTGCTGGATTCTGGTTAAGAAGTCCAGTCTTAAGTCTTAATTGCCATGCTTTAAGAAGACCATGAACATTTTCTTTGTCTCCCCGTCATGTTAACTTGGCCAACAAGCTTGCTCAAGAAAGACGGAATCGGGATGCCGTCAAGTGAAAGATCAAAGTTTACGGCTGAGGACAGCTCTGTTCTGGCAAGCTTCAAGCCCTAAGCCGTAAATCTGAAAATCCTCCACCCAACGCCCCGAATACCTCCACCCTTACATCCCAAAGCCCTCAAACCGACTTGTAAGCCATGAATGACTACACAGTCATCTGTGTACCGGCAGTTAAGATAATTTGCGATGGATCAGCCTCCTGCTCGATCACCAATTTTCAAAACTTGGAAGTTCAGCAGACAACCCTTACCCAGACCCCCGGGAGCTAGAAAGTAGACCCTATACTACTAATGGCGATTTATAGGAACCCCTATTAAGGGATTTCCTTTTTCAGGCGGTTGCTTGAAAAGGGTTCTTCTATAACAGATACGCAAGGGCTTGGAGGGTTGTAATATAGGGGCCTCAATAGTTACCTATACTATTGTCGGGGTTCCGTACTATAATTACAGTATAACGGGCCCCAAAACCCTATTCTAATTATTAAAGCCCCTATATTAGGGGCCTTGATAATGAATCAGAACAGCTATAAAGCAGCAAATCACCGAAAGCGGGTTTCGGGTTTAGGGTTTAGGGTTCAGGATTCTGTGTTGGAGTTTTTCTGATGGTGTAGATGCCGGTCGAGGGTACTGAGAGGGTTGCGTTCGGGAGCAGTCAACCCTGAACCCCAAACCCAATCGAAAGGGAGCATATGGGAGTTTCCGAAAATTAAGGTGTATACCTTATTTTGGGGTCCTTATAATAAGGATCCGACTATTTCGGGTATTGTACTAGGGTCCTCTCTTTTCGGACAGTCCCATATGTAAGTTGAAGCATGAGCCGTTCTCTCCTAAGACCCCAAGCAAACAACCCTGAGGCCTTTACCGTAAACCTCAATCCTTATACGAATAGCTTAAGCTGTATACCATAAAATTTAAGCCCTGAAACCAGCCCTTAACTTAAACCCCAAACCAAACCCTAAACCCTTAGCCCTAAACCTGCCCTTAAACCCTGAATCCGAAGCCCTAAGCCGCAAATCGCTGGTCCCTTCAAAGGGGCCGTCTTCACAGAGATCCCTTAAAGGAACCTTAAAGGAAACCCTTAAAGGAACCTTAAAGGAAACCCTTAAAGGAACCCGTACAAAGGGGCCGTCTTGACACTTAAACCCTGTACCCTGAGCCCTAAACCCTAAACCCTTAATCCTAAGCCCCTAAACCCTAAGCCGCCCGTCCCTTCAAAGGGGCCGTCTTCACGGAGATCGACACCCGCAAGTCGAAGCAAGTGAGTATGCCCGAGCTGAAGGCTGGTTGTGGTGAATCGGGGTCCTCTGGGAGCTTTCTAATAGATATGCGCAGTTCATATTACGTATGTGTACATATATATATATATATATATGCATATATATTCTTATATTTATATGTATATATATATACACATACATACACATGGTTTGTTGGTGTTGGTTGTGGTGGTGTGGTGGCTGTCGCTGTTGTGTCGCTCTGCTGTCGTTGCTGTTGCTGCCGCTGCTGTTGCTGTTGATGGTACGGTGCTGGTGCTGGTGCTAATGCTATTGCTGTTGCCGCTATCAGCTGGCCGCTATTGTTGTCGATGTTGTTGTGATGGTGGTGGTGGTGGTGGTGGTGGTGGTGGTGGTGGTGGTGGTGGTGGTGGTGGTGGTGGTGGTGGTGGGTGGTGGTGGTGGTGGTGGTGGTGGTGGTGGTGGTGGTGGTGGTGGTGGTGGTGGTGGTGGTGGTGGTGGTGGTGGTGGTGGTGGGTGGTGGTGGTGGTGGTGGTGGTGGTGGTGGTGGTGGTGGTGGCAGTGGTGGTGGCAGTGGGGGTGGCAAGAATGAATGACGGTCTGACTGACTGAGTGAATGAATGTGTATGTGTGTGTGTGTGTGTGTTCGCGTGGGTGTAAGCCTGTATGTATGTAGGTAGGTATGCATGCAGGTATGCATTCATGTATGTATGCATCTAGATGTACACACACACACACACACTTGCACTTACTCTTCTAATGTTAAAGGTCCCTATATTAGGGTGTCTAGGGGATTCGGAACCCTAAACCCTAAACCCTAAACCTTAAACCCTAAACCCTAAACCGGGCATGGTGGACTCAGAGGCTTTTCGGGTCGGGGAGCGCACCAGGGTCACAGGACTTCGAGCTGCAGGTGGAGGGTTGACGATTTACCCATACTTAAAGGATCATGGGAATTAGTAAGGGTTCATAAAGGGCTCCTTAAAAGGGATCTATTAGAGGGTTCCTTAAAGGGATCTGTAGGGTTTAGGGTTTAGGGGTTACTTAAAGGATCATGGGACTTAGTAAGTGGGGTTATAAGTATGTTATAACTAGGATAACCCGACTTAGGGGACTTATAACCCCAGTTATAACCTACTTACTAAGTCCCATGATCCTCGAAGTAGGCTCCATAACAGTTTCTTTCTGGGAGTACCTTATCGGATTCTAAGATATACGAACTCCAACAAGGAACTACCGTGGAGCCTTAGGGTAGGTTCAGGCCTGCCTAAAACTATCATAAGCTACTTCTGCATCGGGCACCCTCAATCTCTAGATTAGGGTTTAGATTCGGAATCCACAGAGAGTATTTTGTGGTAGCTCAAAGAGTATAGCCGAATTGGCCCGGTAAAGATGAAGCTTTGTACCCACGACTCCATGGCTTCAATCTCGATGCCTGAACCCGACTCTCGAAATCCTACATCAAGCGGATGCTAAACTCCAGGTTTAGGGTCTTGAACCATGAGCTCAGCACAGCCATTGCCGAATCCCAGCCCGACAGCTCTCGAAGGAAGCGATGTCTGAGAAGAAGCTCGCAAGCTTCATGGAGTCCATGGACATTTCAACAAAGGACACTGGACAATGGGTTAGGTGTGTCTTGAAGCCCTTAGCCCTAATCCTTTGCTTGTCCCTTCTAGGGTTCCTGCCGTAAACCCTAAACCCTAAACCCTGGGATTCCTGGGGGGTCGAACATGTTCAGTTGGCAGTTTCCTGTGGTTTCGATACCATGGCGTTCCGGCGGTGTTGAGTGTTTCCGTGGCGAAGAGGCACAGGTGCTCCGATCATAGCTCATATATAGATATATGCATTATTCGTATATGTTCTGACTTCATAAATATATTTTAATGCACCATATTATACTCTACTATGCCATGGTAGGTTGGATGTTACTACGGGTATAGTTTTCGATGCTACGCGCTAATATACCATTATGCGACGATGCTTATACTACCGTCTACTTCACAAGCCCGGCCTCGCTTGAGGCTTGTGTCGAGCATAAGTGATCCTGGGGGTAATGGGCTTCGGGTTTACGGTTTCGGGGTTTGGAGTCTGAGGTTTAGGGTTTTGGGGTTTAGAGTGTTGGATTTAGTGTTGTTTGTTTTTTTTTGTGTGTGTTTTTTTGTGTGTGGTTCGGGGTAAGTTTGCGGTGCAAGAAGCCCAAACTGCGAGGACATCTGGACGCTTTTCATGCGCCTGGGCTGCAGTTTCGTCTGAACCCGAATCTCTGAACAGAAATCCTCAACTGTGCCCTGAACCCTCAGAGTTTCTGTTTGGGTTTTGAAGATTTTCCCCGATTGCATCCCTTCCCGTCATGAGGATGAAACACCCAGGATAGTTGTGTTATATCCAGTTTCGTAATCAGGAGGTTCACAGTTTAGGGTCTACAGTATACAATATACAATCAGCTTTAACCACACTGATTCGGGATGAGCCGCAATTACGGGCCTGGTTCCTGAATGCGTGCTTCCGGTCGAATCGGGCCTCTCTTGAAGGGTGTTGCTTTGAGGGTTCCTCCAAGTACTCCGTATTGTAGGACTTTAGCGCCGTTTTCGGCACCAAAAACCCTAAACAAGGACTACTTGGACCCTTTGGGATGGGGTGGGAGTTTCCGCAAATTAGGGGTACCTTTTTTGGGGGTCCTTAAAATTAGGATCCTGCTATTTAAGGTACTACATTAGGGCCCCCTTATTTTCGGAAACTCCCATGTAAGGGCCCTGTTCCAACATGAGCTTACACGTGAGAACTGGCCCCGAGTTGTCGTAAAATCCAAAATCTTGCCGTAAAGGAGCCCTAAACTAAACTTTAAACCCTAGACCCGAACAAACGAGCCTGAACACCGAAGCCTGGAATCCCTGACCTCTGACTACAGCACAGGAAAAGCCGACACCTGAGGGTTGCTATTATCATTGGAGTACAATCTACCCCGAAAGCCTATTGTATATGATTGCCAAGGCCCCTCTACTGTGCTAAGCTGTTCTGGTCGACATACCTGCATGCTTTCGCCCTCTTCTTTTTGGGGGTCGCCTTATTGAAGCACCAGTTACTAGGAGAGAAGGAATCCTGACCATTAAGGGGCTACTGCGGGAACTATTACTGCAAGCCTTCATGAAAGTAAATGAGACAGCCTTATGAAACCCATAATGGTAGACCCCCTCCCACCTTGGCATGGCCACTTCGGATCTTTTGAGACACTGAAAGAAGGGGGGTTATTACTCAGGGCTCTGCATTACGGGACATAAAATTCTGAAACCCTAAGCCCTACGCCCGATCCTCTGCCCTCACATGCCAGCAAACCAAAAGGAAGCCTCCCAAGTGCCTTAAACTAGACTCTAAATGCTGTATGCTAGACCCTAATCTCTAAAACCCAAGCTCCAAACCCTAATCCCAAATCTTAAACCCTAAGTCCCAAACCCTGAATCCTAAGCCTTGCAGTCTAAATCCTAGACACTAAACCCTAAACTTCCATGCTGGAGGCTCCTGGATGCAGATGAAAGCGGTGAAATCAGCTTGGAGGAGTTTGTCTCAGGCAGGGCGTTGGTTTGTTACGGTTTAGGGTTTAGAGGTTCAGGGTTTAAGGCTCAGGGTGTTAGGGCTTTAAGGTCCAGGGTTTAACCTATTTTCTTTCAATTCAGTTTCAGCATGCTGGGCTGTAGGCTTAACTTTTTTATGCCCGAAACCCCTAAACCCTGAACCCTAGGGCCCTCTCTTAATTTGGGCGTCAGAATGGCTTGGAAGATGGGCCGCTTCAATGCCCAATACTCCGTGAGTTTATGACTTTCGGTTGTCATGCTCACAACGGCCCTCCTAATACCCTAAAACCCTAGAACCCTCGCAGCCTAAACCCCTAACCCCTCATGAGGCTCTCTGGGCCTTCATACAGGAGTTTCTTCAAGGTTTCAATTGAGGCTCGGAAGGGCTTTACTGTGCTAGGCTCTTTAAGGATGTAGAGTTCTGAGGTTTAGGGTTTTAGGGTCTGGGGTTCCTTTGAAAGGGCTTAGGGTTTAGGGTTTATCTTGCCCTGGTCAGAGTATCCTGAGCCCCAAATTAGGTGCTAAGCCCTTTTGCTGCACACCCAAACCCCCAGCCCTAAACCCCGCACGTTGAAACCGAAACCACAAAACCCCCAAACTTGGCCCTAAACCCTCCCACCAGCTACCAGAGCCTATTTGTTTGGATAAACCCTACTATGGAATTTCTAGGGGCTCTACAAAGAAAGTAGGTTTGGTAGGTCAGGTTCACTCGAATCCGAGACCTGCCAGGCTGCATGCAGCTCGAGGGACCCGCCAAGAGCATCCACTTGGCAAAGACCCAGCGGTTTAGGGGCCTGGGAGGGTTTAGAGGTGCGGCGGTTTAGAGTTTAGGGTTTCGGGTTGCAGAGGTTTAGGGGTGGTGTTTTTAAGATCTTCAGGGCGCTTGCAAGGGCTGCTGTATGCGGTGCGTAGACAGGTTCGATAAAGGTTCCGAGGAGAAGGGTTCTGTAAGGTCTCCTTCAATGGTTCCCCGGAAAAATGTTCCATTCAGTTCGCGGTTTACGGCTGTGTACCCTCAGTTGTAGTGCTTCTTGCCTTCTCGTATCCTCCAGTAACTCTAGTATCGTAGGATCTTGACTGCATTGAAACAGGATACCCCTATGTCAAGGTGCTACGTTTCAGGGTTTGTCTTGGGTTGTGGACTATGAGCTTGGCTGTAGTCGAGGTGTTTCAGTCGGAGGGTTGGGTTTAAAGATTAAATGGCAAAGGTCGTACCTATGCCCTTTCACGTGGTTCCCTGCGTTGGCTTGTGAAGGGACTGAACCCTAGCTCCAACAGCTATACAGGTTATCCAGGGACAAGCACTATAGGCTATCCGAGGACGAGCATTGCAATCTTGGGCCTAGGTAGCCTAGACGTGGGTTTAGAGCTTCCCGCAAAATCACTGAACCCTAACACCCAACGCCCTAACCCCCTAAACCCGAACCATTTCTTGGTGCGGGTATGGGTGAGTATAGACCTGAGCGCGTCGAGAATCCCGCGAGGATGCGCTATGAGAACAACATGCTCCGGCAAGATGTAAGCTTGCCTTTGGGACCACATGAGTGCTATAATTAACTGGGAGCAGTTTGTTCTTTGGAAAGGGGAGTCTTTATGATCCTCTACATTTGTGAGGGTACTGGGTTGGGGCCACTCGTTCTCTGAAAGTCTCAAAGAAGCCTGTACTGTGGTAGAATATCTCCCCAGGTATTCTAAACTAAAACCCCTACTTAAAGTATGATAAGATATAGCAAGTATAATAATTCGACCAAGCCCTATTCAAAGCTCCATGGTTTCAGCTCAAGCTCGGGTAACCAAGGCACCTTAAAACATTCAAAGTTGTACATTCGTTATAAGTCACAGACATACTATCTATATATATATATATATATATGCATGCATTTCCTATGCTATATATATATATATATATATACACATCTCAACTATTGGAAGGTATACATCCTAAACCCTAGGTTCAAGGATAGTTTTAGGTAGGGTAATAGGGCGCGTGGATGCAGTGTTTGGGGAGACTGGAGCCTTGAGCTCAAGGTTTTAGGGTTTAGGGCTTGGCTTAGCTTGTGGGGGTGTAGTGTTCAGGGTCTCGGATTTAGGGTTTAGGGTTCAGGGTTCAGGGTTTCGGATTTAGGGTTCAGGGTTTCGGAGTTAGGGTTTAGGGTTTCGGATTTAGGGGTGCTGAGTTCAGTCGATGCTGCAGGGATGGCGATTCAGGGATGCAAGCAACTCCGATCCAGATATCCCGAAGGGTCCATGTCCCTGTATAGTTACTTCAGTGCCAGAGTATAGACTAGTAGGATACATGGACCCTTAGGGATTATAGTCATTCTGTCTTAATTTGCGTGAAGTGGATATGGGTGGTTGTCAAAATTAGGATCCCTGTTTGGGTACCCTAAATATGAGTGTCGTATTGTAATAGGGACCCAAAAAGGGACCCTAATTCTGACAACTACCCATATGGTGTGCGCTGTACGAAGCCTGAATCTCAAACTCAAAACCTGGCAGCCCCAAATCCTAAGAACCCAAGGCGAAAGCCGAAAGCCCAAGGCCCAAATTCTCTAGGGTTTAGGGTATCTGGGAGTTTCCGAAAATCAGGGGTACCTTATTTGGGGTCCTTATACTAAGGATCCTTTCAATTTAGGGTACTATGTTAGGGTCCCCTGTTTTGGGAAACAGCCATCTAGAGTGTAAAGACCCTCGCAGGACCACATACGAACTTCTTAAGCCTTTGTACCACCTGGGTCCTGGGCCTTAAAGTCTAACCAGTCACTGAAAGGCTGGCTGCGCAGATCGGTTCTTTGCGCAACTTGGCTTTCCCGAAGGGTAGAGTTTGGGGTGTGTAGGGTTTCGGATTTGGGGTGTAGGATTCAGGATTTAAGGCTTGAGGTTTCGGCTTTAGGGCGGTCCCTTCGGGGTGTTGCGCTTTGAGCAAAGTCACCTCCAGCATGCTGGCAGCCTCATATACAGCAAGAAGTACCTTAGAAGTCGATGTCGTACTTTAGGGGCCTTAATAATTCGAACAGGGTTTGGGGGGCACATCATATTA